ATGTGTATGTGTATGTGTATGTGTATGTTTAAGGGATTTTGGACAAGACTGTTTAGGGGATGTGTCTGTGTATTTTCAAGTGCTATTAATGTAATGACATGTGAATTCAAATGTTGTATATTTTGGTATTTGCAGTGCAGTTCATATCTTTGGTGTGCCAGTTACTATTTCAATTGTCAAAATGAGAGCTTGCATTTTCATTCAACAAAACAACTCATACATTGATTACATTGGTCACAACACTCGAAATGAAGCCAATTACACACCCTTTCTGACCTTTACAACAAGCCAATCACCTATCCCTTTCTAACTATTACAAAATGTCAATTACCCATCCCTTTCTAACCATTTCAAAATGCCAATTACCCATCCCTTTCTAACCCTTACAAAATGGCAACCACCCATCCCTTTCAAACCCTTACAAAATGCCAACTACCCATCCCTTTTTACAGCTGCTCATTAGTGCCTTTATCTTCATTCAAAATCAAGCATATAATAACCCCAAACATGCACAACGACACCCAAAACCATGGGTTTTTCAGCTTCGAATTCCCTTTCTTTTTTTCTGCTTCTAACTTGTTAATTCTCCTCAGCAGTCCTGGAATTATTTGCTTAGATCTATTGCACATAACAGGGTCACCCCACTCCCACATTTGACAACGATTCTGCAAAGACAGTTTTAAAACTTGGAAACTCAAAACTGCAAATTAGAAACCCAAACTTCAAAATTCAACTTACCCGCGCACAAACATAAAATCTTCGTCCTGGATGTGAAGAGGTCCAAGAAGTCTGAATTTTCGCAACCTTCCCACAGTTGCAGACCCGTGATGGCAACATCCATGAATTGCCGTCTTCGAACTCCGAACTCCCTCTGTGTGACCCATCAACGCTGCCGGGTAAGTTCGTCCTCATCTCTCTCTCTCTCTCTCTCTCTCTCTCTCTTTCTCTAGATAGATAGCTGGAAATCGCCAGAAACATGAACAAATGGAGGTGGAGCATGATGTATGTGGGAAGTGTGTGAAGGTTTGACTAGGTAAGGGTTTAATAGGCTGAAGATGACGAAAATAACCCTAAAAAAAAGGGTCAAAGTGAGTCAAATGGATGGAATAATGGATGAAATGTTCGAATTTTGACGGTGGGGGGAACATTGATAATAAATTTTAATTTGAACCCTTAATTCGCTAAAAAAAAAAGGTCAGGTGGTAAATTGAGAGTTATGTACAAGTTCAGGGGGCATTTCAGTAGATTACCCTATATTCTTCCTATTGTTGTACATTGGCATATCAATGAAGTCTGAGAAAAACAATGCTCAAATCAATAGGCATTCAAGAAGATTACAATAGAGTTTTAGAATAATATTGTACCTCTTTCTCCATTTTTTTGATGGGTAATTGCCCTTTTATAGATGCTAGCATGAGCCTTGGGCCCCTAGTCCTATGTTCCTTGTTTTTCTTTATGATCTGCAATCACTCCAATATGGTTATGGTAGTGGGTGATCATGTAGGCTTTGTCATGTGGTATTTGGGGGCTTGTTACATCTAGCAAGGAGGAGCCTCTTCATCCCCTTGTTGTTGATGTTTTTGGCTAACCTATTTGATACGGATTGAAGTGAGAAGCAGTGGCGACCCAGTCGCATTGTTACAGAGAGGAGAAGGTCACGCAAAAGGAGGAAGCAGCTGGTCAAATTTGTCTAGGGAGTTCGAGGTTGAATCGTGTAAAAAGATATAGCATGTTTTGGTTTTTTAACGTGTTTTGCCTATTTTGTTTGGGCTTAGATTTTCTATTTCTAAGCCTATGAGTATAAATAGAACTTTTGGGATGCTAGGGTTTTTCATAAGAGAGAAAACAAAGGCATCAAATTAGGTTTAAGAAAGGGTGAGAGAGAAAAGAGAGCTAGGGTTTGTGACAACTAAAGGGGTCCTTCATTGTAATTGAAGTTGTTCTTATTACTAGTGAATTTTTCAGGGGAGAATGTCACCAAGAGGACGTAGGCACAACGCTGAACCTCTATAACTTCTTATGTTCTCTGTGTGCTTGCTTTGATTGTTTGGGTGTGTGTGTGTGTGTTTATTCTTTGCGGGGTTTGTTTGTGTGCTAGTTGCATAGTCCATCAACAATAACGTCTTGGAGTGTTTTTGCACAACACTTGCAACATGCAGAAAACTAAAATTAGAAACTTCAATAGTCTTGTTCCTCTTCTCTCTACCACAACTCTCTCTCTCACCCATTTTCTCCCTTTCTCTCCCTTTCCGTGAACTTTGGAATTTGGTGTTTCTTTGTGAGATTCAAAAATCCCTCTTTATTTATGAAATTTGTATATGGGCTTTTGGTTTTTGTCTTGGAATTGGATGAAATTGATATTATTTACAAAGTATTTGAATCTATAGAATGAATTCTTGTTAGGCAAGGTTCAAATGGATGCATTCAAAGTTTTTATTTATTTAAATTAATACGGTTGTGATCTTTTGAAGGGATGACAAACTGAGAAGTCTAGTGGCATTCTTTCGTTGAATAAAGTATAGATCATAATTTTTCACTGCATATTTAAGTTGAAGAACAATGCTACAACTCGTTCGAAACCTCCTCCGAAATAGATGGCCAGGAAATACAAATAGATTAGCGAAATAGTCTTTATAAAGATTTTGACCACCTTGAGCTATGTTGTGTGGAACCACAACACGATGGAACCACAACGTCTTAATGTTCGTCCTTCATTGGCTAGATTCTCTATTTCTAAACGTGCAAGCAAAGAATCTTCATAGAAAATGATTTGCTAAGAATGACTTGTCATAAATAATATTAAGAAATAAAGCTAAAGAGAAAATGAAGTTAAGATAAAAGAATGAGGAATGAAGAAAATCAGTTTTTCAGATGTGGGAAATGGAGTGAATATATGTTCTTATTTATAGATAGACAATATTCATTTTGAAGAAAGAAAAAAAAGTAGCTGTTAGAAAACTACCCATTAAAAACCAGCCTAAAACTAGTCGTTAATAAAATATTTGAGATTAGCCAAATTAGAAAACTTTGTTTGAGGATATATTTTTTTAAGTTGTTTACTATAATAGTTTTTTAGCCATTTTAGCTATAATAAAATTTTGTAGTTCTCGAGATGCCAACCAAGCTCGTTTAGCAGCTACAGGTCATCATTTGATTATTAATGAGTTCTTTGTTTTTTTTTTTTTTTTTTTTTTTTTTGCAAGAGTTTTTGTCGCATAAGTGAAGATATCTGCAGCCTATCAAGAATAAAAATTTAAGGCTTAATTACACCAATGTCTCTTGAAACTTCCGTCAAATCCTACTTTATCCCTCCAAACTCAAAATGGCCCACTTTTATCCTTATCCTTTGACCGAGATTTGGTGACCCACTTTGTCCTGTCGTCAACTCCATTCAAAAGTCCACTACACCTGAATCAGTGTCCACTAATTGGGTGGGTGACGTGGCAAGTGGAGCCCACCTCTACATGGATAAAAATATAATGAAATATTATAATAATTAAAAATAACTATAAATTAAAATAAATTAGAAAAAATATATTCAAATAATTAAAAACCCTACCCAGTCGCCCCAATCCTCACACCCACCCCCATCCCCCATCCCCCATCCCCCATCCCTAGCTGCCGCTCCAACCCTCACCCGCCTACCCCATCCCTCCATCATCATCTCCACAGCACAAATACCACCATCCCCTGACCATATAACATAGAGGTGTCAAACGGGTCATGACAGCCCAGCTTGGCTCGTTTAGAGTCTGCCTATTTAATAAACAGGTCATGTCGAGCCCTTCCTATGAAAATCATCAAGCTCGGCCTGAGCCCATGGTCCTAGCCCATATGGGATCAGGTTGGTTTTGTGATGGGCCGGTATGGGCCTACACCAAATTTGACTTATGTATTGCATTTTTGTTTGTAATTTTTTGTTTTACAACTTCATTTAAATCTTTTTTATAATTATGTATATACTAAAAAGATATATTATTTGTTGGAAAAAGTGATCAATAACTTTATTTTTTACGCACATTTAAATAGAAAGTGGCTAGATTACTATTCAGGTTTTAAAAATTGAAACTTAAACAACAAAATCATTATTTTAAATAGGTCAATGATTACCAACACATTAAGGCCTCATTTGGGAGTGATTCTGAATAGGTCAATGATCACTTCTATGGATAATCACTTCTCCATATAAGTGATTTTATGGAGAAGCATGTGGGAAGTGCTTCTCCCCATAAGTGATCATAATCACTTCCAAACGTGTCCTAATTGTTGTTGGATGAGTTTAATTTTTCAGCTTCATGTGGTAGACATATTAAATCACACTTATCTAACGACAATTAATGCTCGCCACCAATCAGGGGGTGGTGAGCAAAATGCTCTTCACTTAACTTGATTTTAGATACATAAGAGTGCTTATATACCCTTCTAAACACGCTGCCAAACATGACCATTTAACGACAATTAATGCTCGCCACCAATCAGGGGGTGGTGAGCAAAATGCTCTTCACTTAACTTGATTTTAGATACATAAGAGTGCTTATATACCCTTCTAAACACGCTGTCATGACCATGAAACTTGTAAACCCTTCCAAATCCATTGCCAAACATGACCATTAAACTTGATTTTTGAAACCTCTAGTGGAGTTAAAAATGCAATAAATATACAAAAGAAAAACACAGATTCTTCACCCTTTCTAGACCTGTAAGACAGATTTGATGACGCATCTGCCATTAAAGTGGATGCATTTCACATGCCTAGTCTTGTAGACCATGGGCTCAGTGGCACATACAGTGGAAATTTGTACAATCACTAATAACACTGGGATTTTTTTTTTCGATGAACGTAACATTCGAATTTTATGTTTCGCTGAAATATGGTCAGAAATTGCCAAATTTCTGAAAACCATGTCCAAATTTCACATCGCATTGTCAAGTTTGATCACTTCCATCTGGAGGGATCTATACACTAAACTAGACCTCAAAATACGGAGCAACAGAAACGGAAAGAGAGCATCTACTATCAACCCATACCCATATAAGAGATTTCATTTAATAGAAACATGTAATCTCTCATCCACCATAGCAAGTGTGATCGTTGTACTCAGGTTTGTTCCAGTCTTAATAGAAAATGTCATCCACTAAACAAAAACATATTATCTCAAGTCCTATGTACTCATGAATCCATCATTTCACCCAACACAAGAAAAATTTCGGAGCCAAAATAGTGGGCAGAATTTCTTGTCCCGACCCATGTACATTTGCAACAAAATACCTGCACAATAAAACACATGTTACCAAAATATTTGGGATCATATGAATTAAAACATATGAAATTTGTTCTGCTAGTGGGTGATTTACAAAGCTCCGAAACTATCCATCTACTCTGATTCAAAGAAAGACTTTCTAGATAATGCAATTGCATACACAATCATGCAAGAGCAGTGCATGCGCAAACATGCCTAAGCGCACATGCCACACAGAAAGATTGACTATTGGAACTAGAAAAAATAGGACCTAACGTAGTTGAGACGGTATGGAAACTAGTATCAAACTTTTATGCTGCAATAAAATGGAATGTATTTTAATTTCACATAAAAAGGGAACACATTCATATGAGATGCAGTTTTTTGAGAAGGAAGAGTAACTTTGCGAAAAGAGGTAGAGTGTAAAATGATTAAAGGGACTAGTAGTCCATCTGATGCCAACAATACAACATATCAAGTAAAGACAACCAGTCCTAAAAAACATTCTTCCAACACCTGAAAAGAGAGCTCTGGGAAGTTCCCTTAAAAACAGCTGAAACCTAAGTCCATAATAAGGCAAAATACCTAATTTTCCTCCAAACTATCCACCACCAATATACTCCACTCCGTAACCATAACCTGTAAGCGAAATCACATAAAATAAAAAATTGATGCACCAATATCCCGTTCTTAGTTTCTTTGAACAGAGTATTCTACATAGAAAAGTAAACAAAGGTTTGGCTGCCTCCTTTAAAACAAATCGTTAGTAGTCAATTTTCTCTTTTTTTTTGCTTACTAACAGACTTCATTAGAGAAAAGAACAGAAGCACATGGTTACTGTTCATTACCAATAGTATAACAGGGGCTGATCATACAAAATAGTTACTATCCAATCAGATAAAAAACAAGCAAAAAATGATATAAGCATATTCGCAGGACAAATAAGTGCCAATGCATTCTAATGCTTGTGTATTGAAATTTCAAGGAAGGCCTACATGATGCATCAGACCATAAACAACAAAGTCAAAGGCCAGCACCGAATGTATGATCAGATATTTAGTACTTTTGAACTGTCAGCAGAAGTACCTGTACAAAATATAGGCCAGAATGATGGAACTTTCAGCTGCCTTGGAGAACCTTTCGAGGATCAAGTTGCCCACTACAGTAACTGGAAGGAACAGCTGAAAGCTCCTGCCTTCCTCTCCACTCCTCTCCAGGTTTCAGTGTGATAGGTTTCTCAATAGCAGCAGCCTCCACACACAGCATATGCTTGTACTCATCATCTCCAAAATCAGCCATAGCCTTCGACTTCTTATCCCAGGGATTCCACACCACTGGATGAAACAAACTAATCACTATAAAGTACAGAGTAAAATTCCAAGCACTACTATGAGGGCAGGTATTTAACATCATAACTCTTAGACAAAAACCTCTTACGTTACGTCATTAAACTGAAATGAAATCAGAGAACCAGCAATGGTGGTTCGGACATATTCAAAGAGGATCAATAGATGCACCAGTTAGAAAGAGTGACTTAATCAACATAATGGCCAAAAATAACATGGGTGAAGATATAGGAAAGATATGACTGTAGGAGTTATAATGAAAATATGGCTGACAAGACGACAAAATGGAGGACCAGGTTACATATCGCCCACCCCAAATAGCTGGAGCAAGGGTCTCTTATTGTTGATTGATTTAAAATGTCCACCATCCTTACTATCAGTATCAACTAATAAAATAGTTAAGTCCAAGCAGGATATTTGAGAGCACACGGACAACAAAAGAAGTAGAGTACTCTCCACCAATCCTGGTCATCAAAGAGCAATTCAACCTGTTCTCTGGTTAGTTGTTACAATACCACAATGGGCTTCCATTATTCATGGCTAAGGTTAAGCATTGTCACTTGTACGAGCAGCCATTTAATGGAAGTTATTATATTAATGTTTTAAAATGTAAAAAAGTTCAAAGCACACACAATTTCTTGTACCTTTCAGTATAACAAAATAACATGGGTGAAGATATAGGAAAGATATGACTGTAGGAGTTATAATGAAAATATGGCTGACAAGACGACAAAATGGAGGACCAGGTTACATATCACCCACCCCAAATAGCTGGAGCAAGGGTCTCTTATTGTTGATTGATTTAAAATGTCCACCATCCTTACTATCAGTATCAACTCATAAAATAGTTAAGTCCAAGGAGGATATTTGAGAGCACATGGACAACAAAAGAAGTAGAGTACTCTCCACCAATCCTGGTCATCAAAGAGCAATTCAACCTGTTCTCTGGTTAGTTGTGACAATACCACAATGGGCTTCCATTATTCATGGCTAAGGTTAAGCATTGTCACTTGTACGAGCAGCCATTTAATGGAAGTTAATGTTTTAAAATGTAAAAAAGTTCAAAGCACACACAATTTCTTGTACCTTTCAGTATAACATAAAAATTAAAAATTAAAAACCTCACGCAGCAATGACATCATTATGAAAGGAGATGACTATATTGATCCTCACCAGCATCTGGAAGACCATCTTTGCGTATTACGAATGTTCTCTTCTTCTCATGATCCAAAATTGCAATCTTTGTAGGAGTGCTGAGATATATTTTGTCAACCTATTATCGTTCAGAAAAAAAAAAAAAAAAGTGAATTAGAACCAAATTAACCTATGCAGAAAAGAAACAAAATAATGGCATCTAAATAGTGGCATCTACAACTTACCTCTGATTCAAATGTTATAGCATCACCTTGTTCAGTGCAACGTTTTCTGTTCTGCAAGTTGTCAAGATAATCCAAGGTCTCCAATCCTTCTACACGAACTTCACTGAACACAAGCACTAACCAAATTTAAATACTATCCGGAACTGCGGGTTTATTACCAACTGTATGGTACATGAAAATGGCTATGGAATTGAGGTAAAGCACAAAAATATTGTAGTTCCTGTTGGAATATTAACAATTAATAGAAAAGGCAGAGACACATATTTTTCTTTTAAACTGTTGTATTGCACGAAATTCGCAGTTAACCATAAGATCTGTCTAATATTAAGTGGCACTTCCTAAATGTCGTTTAAAATTCGGTTAGGTTTATAAAGTATCCATCCATATGCAATGAAAAGCACAAGCTTCTGTATATGACAGGGTGCACTTTCATAACTACTTGTTCTACATTGCATGCAATCTATGCCTACAGATTCATGACTATTTAAAACAGAAAACAAGGGTCAAAGCTTTTGATTTTTCAGACATAAATCAAGCTACATTAAATGAGAATGAAGAGTAACAATAACTAGCATTTCGAACATAAATAAAGTATGTAAATTACCTGATATCTGAAACAGAGAAATAAGTGTGATATGCAAATGTGAACGAGAATGGCTTTCCATCAGAGTTAGTATTCCTGATGCGAGATATCAACGTCAGATCTCCTCCAGGTCCCAAAGCTACCCGTAGTCGGTACTCATAACTTCAATTCAACACAAAGTCAGTAAAGAGAACCTTGGTATTAATAACAAAGAAAAATTGGACGATTAGGGAGCTTCCAATTAGAACCTTTTCCCAGTATTTACCTGTGAGGCCAGGTCTTCATGTCTTCTTCACTAGGCCTAAGGATCAAATCAACAGCAACCTTATTGGAGGTATTTGTTGGAAAAGGAGATGGATCAGGGTCAATGCTCCAAAATCTGTTTCTAGCAAATCCATGCGCATCAAGAGAACCAAGATTTGAAAACTGCATAGTGGGCAAGTTCCTGTCACCAAGATGAACAACCAAATCAAGCAAGAAAGACAATTAGAAAGAACTGCATACCTGAGGAAAGCATATTGGGATTCCCCCACGAATAGCCTTGGGAGGCTTAAATATAGCCTGCAGGAGGAAAAAAAAAGCAATTAAACACTTCAGATGATTTTTGGGTTGAACAAAGAAAGACAAGATTCAAAGGGAGGAAGAAAGATGCCATAAGGCATTATTAGACCCCTTCGCATTGGTAAATGACTGCTAGGGTTTCTAGACAATAAATAAAAGTGCATAATTTTCTAGACAAATGATGAAAATGAAAATAAAAGTCATAAGCCTTCACAGAAGCCATAAAAGTCAGCTCACCCAGTATGTTATAGCAAAAACGCTTCTTTTGAAATCATTTTGAATTAAAAGAATTTTCCTTTCTTTTTTAGCCTTCAAGATAAAACATGGATGAGGGACAATTCAAAACTGGAAAGCCCAGAAAGCAATTATGAAAGACTTCGAAGAAACTATAATAAACATGAAGATCTCCTCTAAAGAGTGCATAAAATTAAGTAATGCAACTTGACAAAATCTTATTGCCAGCATAAAAATATAAGAAGCAAACTGTTCATACACAAAATATGGAGGACAAAACATTATTACAGCATATGGCTGCTCACTCCACAAAATGTACTACCAAAACAACATTGTTCGCAATCTTCTATAGATCACAAACTTAAAAGAAACTGGAAAGCCCAGAAAGCAATTATGAAAGACTTCGAAGAAACTATAATAAACATGAAGATCTCCTCTAAAGAGTGCATAAAATTAAGTAATGCAAATTGACAAAATCTTATTGCCAGCATAAAAATATAAGAAGCAAACTGAGTTCATACACAAAATATGGAGGACAAAACATTATTACAGCGTATGGCTGCTCACTCCACAAAATGTACTACCAAAATAACATTGTTCGCAATCTTCTATAGATCACAAACTTAAAAGGAATGCATGCACAGACATCCCTTTCAAAGGTTTGTAATTACAATCCACAGAATTTACTTCTACAAAAACAAAATGATAAATAGAGAGAATTAACATCAAATTACTGCATAGTACCTTACTGCTAACAAATAGCAATTCCTCTCCATGATCATTCTTCCATGATGTTACATGACCCCCATACAAATACACCTGGAAAGCCCAAACAGAAATATTATATGACAATAAAAGAAGCGAAAGACCGTTGAAATCAGCACTAAGGAATATGATTCTGCAGCATGAAATTTCATAATCCAAAAAGACTATCAACCGGAAAAGTAGAAAACAATACATTATTTTAACAACTTTTAAGATAAGCCAAAACAGCCGTATAAACTGAAACTAAGCAGAATGAAACTAAATCAGGGTGCGAAACCACTACATATATTACTGTTTGATTCTAACATCAAGAAAATAATCTAGTTTGCATGAACAAATAAAAAAGGAAAAGTAAATTTAAGCAAATGTATCCAAATTCAAGCGTGATCAAGAGATAAGTGAACCAAATGGAGGTTCTACATAGAACATAAACAGAACGGGCAATTTTCTCATATGAAAATGAGGAATTAAACATCATTGGATACTTCACCTAAGATCAATACATTGCATGCCCAAAATATTAATAAACTATCACAATTATCATAAGCTATTAGCATACTCTAAGTATGCAATCAAATGAGAATTTGTAAATTAGAACTATTTCAGTGCAAAGTTTCTCAAACTTCTTCATTTCATATCCTCACAATATAACACAGAGACTGCAGATTATACTATCTGCATCTACTTACAAATATCTTTTTTCGAAGTACAAAAACATGCACGCTGTCTCTCTAATCTAGTTAATACTTATGAATCTAACAACCTTTGGCAGCCCTGAATGCTATTGTTGGACCTATTATTCCTCAAATATCAAATTTTACTCAAAAAGGAAAGAAAGTCATTCCATAATATGAATCGACCTCAAAGACTAGTTTCAAATATGACCAAACAGAAACTAATTGGGAGTGACAAGAAAAATTAAAACTGGATTTCAGCCAGAAACTCTCGCCAACATGACGGAAATAAATGGAAAGCATATTATTTGCCTCTAAAAGAATAGTTTCTAAATCAGATTAAACCTGCAATCAATTAATCATAACTCCTCACCATTTCCTTATCAAGAACTTCACCCAAACAGATCTAAAATGAATAATTGAAACTAAAAAATACAAAATCAAACCAAAGCAATTCAAGAAACCCTAGATTCACGAAATGGAAGCGAAATCCAAATTAACAATCGGAAAGGAAAGAAAAGCCAAGAAGACGAAAATTAATCAAAGAATTTCATTTCTCCAAAAGAAAACCGAAATCGAGCAAGCAAGAATCAGATCTCAATCGCATAAAATGATAAACCGAACGGAAATTGTGGTATAAAGGATCGTACGACGTCGTAGAAGCGGGGTTACCTCGGCGACACTGCCACGCGGATCACGGAGGACGACCTTGTCGAGGCCATTGATGCCCTTGCTGAATTCAGCGCCAGGATGAAGAAGCTTCGCATTGGCATTAGCAGCAGCAACACCGCCACTGCCGCTACTACCACTCAACGCATTGGTAGCTGCAGCAGCAGAAGCAGCAGCAATGGGAGCCTTATCGCTACTCATACTCTAAAACTCTCCCTCTCTCTCACGATCGATCGATCGCTCTCTGCTTCTTCTTCTGATTCTTGTTGTTGCTTAAGAAACTGAAATGAAATGAAATGAAAAGAAAAGCCCGACGCTTATTTATAGAGAGAGAGAGAGAGAGGGGGGGTTATATTTTGTAGTAGCAGCAACTGTCAAGTTTGTGTCAAGAAAATAAGGAAAGCCGTTTCTCTCTCTCATGAAACTTCCTTCTTCTTGTCTCTTGTTTAGAATTAAAGAAAGAATTTTGGTGCGACTTGGGTGTCGTAAATAGTTATTAGAATTTGCCTCGTTTGCACTCCATGGATGGAGGGAGGCTATGAATTGGTAGTGATTCCATTACAGTTCTTGTTTTTTTGGATAAAAACTTCATTCTCATAGTTGGCAATGGCACAAACACTTTTGGAAAGTTTCATATGGCTATGAAATATCTATCCTTCCATCTGGTTTTTCACCTTGTGTATGTACATACTTTTAAATTTAATTATTATTTTTTTATACATTTTTGTAAATTATGGTAAAATATACAATTTTTAAAATGAAAGAGAACAGGCTCACTACCCTAACCAACTGACCTAACTCACGTATGATTATAACTTAAAATTTCCAAATACTAAAATAGTACTAATTTATAGCATGAAATACAAATAAGAGTTGCATTCCCTAAGGACTCATTCTTCAAACCCATTAAAGTTTAAATGTCTACTTAATGCAAACTCATAAATTACTTATCGTGCTAACATGAATGATAAACAAACTAGGTTAGTGTCAAACATAAAATAACATGAACTGACATCATGAAAACACGATTAATAATTAACTAATCTCAAACGAGGCTATAAGCATCAAGGCTTCTTCAAAGTTTTCATGTTCATGTCAAATGTGAAACCCAAGTACGGCGAGTTCGCTAATACTATATGGTGTGTTTGCATTTTTTTTTTCTTTACTAGACATATCTCTTACACTTGACTAACACATAATTGACTATGGGTGGGCGCAATCCAGTTTGTTTCGGTTTTCCCCTCAAATTAGAACCAAAATTGAAACTTACACGCAGTTTAATTCGGTTTTATTTTCATAGAAAGTGTCTAGAAGAATCGAACCAAATCGAGCTTATGCGATTCTGGTTCGGTTCGACCAGTTTCTAGTTTGGAAAGACAAAAATATGAAAAATCTGAAGAAGAGAGAAATAGGAAGAAGAGAAAAAGAGGTAGAAGAAATCAAATAAGAGAAAAAGAGGTAGAAGAGATAAAGAGGAAGAGAAATAGAAACAAATAGGAAGAAGATAAAAAGATAAAATGACGTAGAAGAGATTATAAAAATAAAAAAATAAAAAGAAATGGGCAAAAAAGAGAGAAAGACGGAAGCACATCAAGAACGGATATGGTTCATCGAAAAGAAAAAGAAGTTGGGTTAGAGTTGTTATTTAGTTGGGTATATAAATTGGAACTAAGACATTTGAGTATTAATTCGGCTAAAATATTTAAGTATTACTTTGGGTTACTAATGTGATTCGAATATTAATTAGGCATACTAAAATTTTTGGATATAAATGAATAAGTTAACATAACTGGTCCAGTCTAGTTTAAACCGGTTTTTTCAAGACAAGAATCGATCTAAAGAGGTCGATCTGGTTTGATTTTTGAGCCTACGTTGACTTTTTGGTGAACACGGTTTTTTTTTACTTAGTTCACCGGTTCAAATGCCTACCCAGATAACTGACTGTTGGGGCACATTTGTTAATTGCTTTGGTATCGTATTCTTGGGTGTTTTGAATAAGAAGCCCTTTGTGGTGATTTCTTCTGAGCCATGCTCAAATTGAAGTTCCTTATCACCTTTTTTGGGTCATGCCCTTAATCAAATCTTTCTCCCAAAAATCGCTCTCTAACACTTCTCCTATTCTCTAAATTTAGTTCTAATACGATGCAATCTACCCAATTATTTTTTGCCATGACTGCTGGATTGGCATATTTGTTCGCTGTTATGCACAATTAGAAGGATGGAAACCATGTTTTCCCCAAATCTATCACATGGTTTGTTTTCGCTTAAAGAGTATATGTGGTGGTGGTTTGACCGCGACGACGATTCCTTAAGTGGTGGTAGTTCGCCGGGCTAGGTCTATCCCAACAAAATTTCTGGAGTCATGTCTAGGTTAGGTTCGGTTACATCATACTAACCCAAGATTGAGAGTGAAACCTAAATCGTAAAGCCCTAGGTCGAGTTACGTGATTATCCAAGCCTAATCAAGCCCCAAGTGCCCTACAATAGGTTTATAGTTAGGGTTCAAGGCTTGCAAATGTTTTTGGAACAAGGTCGGATAAGTTTGAAAGCTATGATTTTTGGTTCGAAACTTGGATTTAGGGTTTGGAGACTAAAATTCCATTTTTAGAATACTAAAATAATTTTCTAGAATTTTTAAATAATTGAAACTATTTTTAAAATAATTTTAAATTCCACAAAATTATTTAAGATAATTAAATATAATTAATTAGTATTTATTAAGTATTTTTTTAAATCAATTAAAATATTTAAATACTAATTCTTCATTAAATAAATAAATGTAATTAAAACACAATACATTCAAAGAGTATAGCCGCAAGGTTATAGTCTTTAAATATTATTTTAAAGGTATAGCCGTCCGGCTAGACTCCATAAATATAACATTTTACAGCGCGGCCACACTCCATAAATATAATATTTTAAGAGTATAGCCGCGCGGCCGTACCCCAAAAAATAATATTTTAAAAGTATTGCCACGCAGCTATACTCCACGGCTATACTCGAAAAATATAATATCTTAAAAGTATAGCAGTGCGGCTATACCCCAAAATTGAAAAAAAAAAAACATCTCCCGACGAAATGGCGTAAGCACATATCTATCCCGATGAAATTTGGATTATTAGACCTCTCTCGACGAAAGTTTGTGTAAATTTCGTCGGGAGAGGTTTTTTGTTTTTATTTTAAAAATATAAAATTAGTTTCTTTACGTTTGTTTTTTGGCCAACTTCTTTAATTTAATATATGTAATTAAGTAATATCTTAGCCTTTTTGAATTACTTTAATTAGTAATTATGTCTTATCATTTTTAATTTAAATTCTGCTGTGCAAAAATAAAAAAATAAAATACTTATTTTCATTTGGGTGTCTCTTTTAAATTTCTCCAGAGCCCAAGAGCTATTCACACTCTTGGTCCCTCTAAAAATTGTTTTCTAGCTTCACCCTGCTATTTTATTTATTAAAAAAAAAAAAATGAAAGATTTCATTAATTTGATAAAGTTGGAGTATTATCCAATAACAATGACGCAAGTCATGGAGGCTCTTCCTCTAACCAAAAGATTTCTTGATCTAACAAGGCATGCCTAGCAAGGCAGTGAGCCACCTTATTACATTCTATGTGGCTATATCGCCATCTCACTAGAGCGAAAGAATGTGTGAGGCACTAGGAGGTGCAGCTGCACCTCCCCTCGCCGGAAAAAGCTTTGGAGTCGCCGGAAGTTGCCCCTTTGGTCTGTCTTGACGTTGCCCACCAAGTGTTTGATTAAATGACTGAGCAACCTGTTCTTTTCTGTTCTTTGCTGCACTGCTGAGTGCAGCGCGCATCTGTTTTATTTATTTTTTCAAAATCTTGGCCAAAACGTGGTCGTTTTGGGATAGGGAGAAAAAAAGATGAAGAAGAAGAACAAGGGCTGTGGTTTTCTGTGGAGCCGTGGGTAGGCATGTTTTCCCTGTGGCCCACTGGGCCTGTGTAGTTCGTCAACCTGGTCAATTCAATGTCGCTCTGCCACCATATGCCATCAGCTGTCCCCACAAACCACAATTCATTAATTTGTTCCCTCTCTCTATCCATCTATATTTGTTAATAACTTGAAATTTAAAATTTCAATTGGCTCCCATCTGAATTAACCGAGAGAGATGTTTGGAGTGGTGGAGTGCATCCATATGAACTCAAGAAGATTATGCAGAATTTGGACCCCATGGAGAATTGACATGGGAAATTGAATATTAATTTTTCCAGTACATATATAATTGAATATTAATTTTGAATGAAGAAGAATATTCATTATGAGTCATGACTCATGAAGAAGGAAAATCTTGTGTGGCTTTATTTGAGTGAACTATACTTTTTAAAACATGACTATATACACTGGCCAAAACATTGCACCTCCTCTAAAAAATTCCTGGGTTCGCCAGTTCCACACACGCAAATCCTCCCAATCTTTCTCAAAAGCGCAAAAGCAGTAATAATATATTGTGCATCCCCTTACACTTCAATAGTCCCAACAAAATTTCGACGGAAAAGATCTATCGCCACACATATTCGCCGGGATAGGTCTATCCCATCAAAGTTAGTGTTCTTTTAGGCTCTTGGGTTGCTTTAGAGTTTCAGTTATATATGTTGGGTTCTGTGGGCTTTAATTGAGATTATGCTTAATTGTAATGATGTTGGCTAATAGTTGTTTGTGCATTTTTTGTCCGTTTTAGTTTTGCTTTTTAGCGTGTTAATTTGTTGTTGTCGAAGATTATCTTTTTTTTTAAGGACATTTCCTATTGAGAGGGGCGATAGTATATACTAAATTCACACATTACACAGATGCTAAGACTCAAACCTAAGACCTTTGTATTGTTGAAGATTATCTAATTAAGTTGTTCTTTGACATATTTTATTTTATTTTGTTAAAAGAAAGTTGGACTGGATTACTATTGGATCAGATTAACTCTTAAATTTTGATTTCTGAAAGTTTGACTTGTGATGCTAGCAAGTTATCGAATTAAGATCATAAATGAATTATCTAATTGAAATCATAAAATTCATATCCACTTATATTGAATTCGTGTAAAAACCTCATCCATAGACAGGTCTACTTGAAACAATGAATGAGACTTTGTGAGATATTAGGAGAGATGCATTTGAAAACATTGGCCCATTGAATTTAATTTATTTGCTACATTTCTGGTTCAAAAAATAAACTGAATTCATTTTTCCGATCTATTTGCTAAGAAGACCCAAAGGAGGAGGATAAATTAACCCGGAGGTAAAATCTTATTAACCCCTTATCACCTATCAACTCAAAGCTAAAGCATTCATTTAGTAATGAACCACACAACAATGTTAAAGAATTTACCTGTAATTAATTTTCAGTTAAACTGACAAGGTTAAAAATGAATATATTTCTAAGAATATACGGGGTAGGAAGGCACAAAGAAAGGCAAAAAGTCACACTTTTATTGTCAAAACAGGAGCGATTGGTTTTTACACTCTGCTGTACACACTGTCATCCCTCAGATATCAACACAACCTAAGTATGCATATGCAAGCCCCCTAATTGCTCTACTGAAATCAATTTCTGAATCCCAGAAAAAGCAACCAAAA